GGGTTTAACGTCTTCGTTTTTTTTATTTTGCTCGAACCGAGTAAACGAATACGGGCAAATACCATGCAGTTCGTTATGACAGACATTTTGCCACGATAGCGGCGCTACGACCTACCTTTCGATTCCCCGTTTGTACGTGACAAGGAGTAGGGTCGTGGGTTTTCTACGGGTTCCCCGGTTTCCTCCTACTGCTAAAGACCCCTACGTGCAAGCGAATTATTGAAATAAAATTAAACCATATGTTAGTCCTGAAATGACCTAGTTTGTGTCGAGTGGACCTCTCTCTCTCTCTCTCTCTCTCTCTTTCTCTCATAATCTCTTGGTAGTTGAAATTAAAAGAAGAGTATGTCGAAATGCCACTGTCTGGAGACAATTCTCCCTCTCTATAACTGAAATAAAATTGAACCATATTTTAGTCCCGAAATGACCCCTCGTGCACGCTAAGCTGTACACGAGACCTCGAGTTTCCATCCCATCCGAACGACTATATTTCAGTGAATAAAACTGGTTAATTCTGTGTTGAAGACTCTTAGAACTATTTATTCTAGTCCCACTCCACGGAACTCTTTGAACCACTGTGATACGTTTCTAATCAGACACTAACATCCGGTTGCATGGTAAAGTTAGGTGGCTATAATAAATCTCTTTGTTAAGGCCAGCTCAATTTTCGTCAAGGTCGCTGAGCTTTAAATATGTTTAGGGGGCGTGATTGTCGGCGAGATTGTAGGTTAAGGTTAGGGTATAGGGTAAGCAATGGGACTAGGTCCAGGTAGGGTTAGGGTTGAAATCAGCGGTAGGTGCTAGCCCTGTTTACATCTCCTGACCTTTGACCAAACATGAAGTTGACCTTATCACATAGATCAAACCGGGGTTGGGTCGACATTGTCGGGATACACTTGTCTACGCTATACTTTCGTGTACGTGTTGTTTTGCATCAAATAATAGAATTTACAAGTTATTACTGCGTTTTAATTATCCCTCAGCAAAGTTTACAAACAGTATATCGTGTAGTCGCGTTGACCAGGTCAATAATTCAATGAAGAATAGGAGGCAACGTAAATAGGGCATATCTTCACATTCTGCATACTTAAACGAACACCCCACCCCCACCCCAATCCCCGCCCCCTCCTGCAGAATACCCAGTTTAAATGGTGTCTTTTCCTCTCAAAAAGCCAAAAAGGAGTATATTTTCGGAACAGTTAGGTACATAACGAAGAATTGTTTTAGATTTGTTATATTTGAACAAAAAGTGGCGTATGTATTAACTATGTGTAATCAACAAACATGGCTCACATATAAATGACCACTATTGACATTTTACATGTAATATCTACTTCGAGAATAGATCTTTGTCCTGAATGGCCGGCATTTTGCTATACCGTTCTAAACTGTTTTAGATCTTCCATACACACAAAGACAAGCTAAACATTTTTAATTTCACTAAATTAATATAAAAAAAGGAAGGGGAATAAATACTTCTCAATATTTCGATGAAAATCGTCTATGCAGGAATTAAAATGTGTTAACTTGCTTAGTGTGTGTTCACAAGCGGAGCTGATTGTAGACAAACGGCGTAAATTTCGTAAGGGACTATGTTTAATGATAATATTGATCTGGACAGACCCCCCACCGGGGGGATCTTGAATAAGGGGTTACGTTTGATTCTAATATTACCCCCCCACTACCACACAGACACACATACACCCACACACACGCACACACTCACCCAGTCATACATGATGACAAAATCACAAACATCCACAAAACAACCAGTTATACCCCCCCCCCCCCAACACACACACATCTACACTTAGATGCCATACTACTAATCATTCCTACAAAAATAGTGTCCAGCTTATTGACCGATGCCGTGGTGTGGAAGGAAACTAGTGTATCTATTAAACGTTGCCATGACACGGAGAATCTTTGTTGTATGTTGATTGTATGTTGATGTAGACGAGGGATGACACACGACAATAAATATACCTCAACCAAATACAGTTTAAACACTATCAATATATGGTTTACTTTATACTGTAAAACCTTGCTGTTAGGACCAGTATGCATGGGTAGGATTTAGTTGAAAATTGGCCCTCCAATTGTGAGGCCTCTCTTAATCCGCAACATTCATGTAAGATGTGTTAAACAAAAGTGAGTAAAACCGAGGATGATAGCCGTTGTTTAGAACTACCGTGCATGTATTAAAGCCCCTGTAATCTGGAAAAACCTAGTAAGTCAAATTTTGGTAAAAATTGAGTTAGACCCATATTTGGACTTTTCAACCTTCAAAGCCTACAGGTAAGTCTTGCACTGGTGAATGGAAACAAAGAAAGACACATTGAAGTGTGTTTTATGAAATGGGAAGTGTGAAATCTATTATTATTGTAGGGCTGGAAAATATAAACCAAACTTGATGCCAAAAAACAAAAAAAATGAAGCGAAGCGATTTCTCTCATTAACTGTAGACAAACGATAATTAATGCGAATCATAGAACATACATTATGCAAGAGCTAAATCTGCTTTATTGCAGGTCTTTCTTTAGGCCTGAAATGTTATCTAAATTATTATTTGGACATCACTTAACTTATCCAAGTCATAATCAACTTTCGATGGCATCCGATTTATCCGATATTAAATAGATTAGAACAATTCAGCCATATTTTGATTTAAGCTAAAAATGGAGGAGCAAAACGGTGGTTGCAGTTAATGCACGCCTTCAAAGGCTGATATTTATCGCTCGCAATATAATTGAGTAATTTGAATGAAATTCTCAAATTATTCATTTTACATTATCTATTTTCGAAATATTATAGCAAGAATGACTAGCTCTTTATCTAAATCTTACATAATGTATCTTTTTTAACCAAGTGCCCAAAAGCTATATTAAAGGCGATACCTCGCATACAGACAAAGAGAAGTGGTTATCCCAAAATAAAATTGTTTAAACGTTAACAGCGCAATATTTGAATCTTAATTCTTCAGTGGTACCGAGTCGGTCGTTCAGCAGGACTTAACTGTATTATTGTTGTTCGATAAATATACATCACGCAAATACCCCACACTTTAAACACATAGTTCTATACTTTATTTTATATTGTTGTCCTTTATACAATACACAGTTCCGGTCTTTGGAGGTTCCAAACCCTGATCTATAAAATATTCGAATATTATATTCATCCCGTATATTACCGGCGTCAAAATGGGATCGCCGTAACTGCTAAGGCTCGTTACTGTATTTATCCATTTTATAGAAAAGCAAACCTAGATCTATCTACTATATACATAGATCTATATAACGATAAATGAAATGGGGTTAAACGTCCTACTGTTCTGACCCGGGGGGGGGGGGGGGTCACAACGGAAAATCCCGATGAACTGTCTCGTAGATGAACTGTCTCGTTACCCCATTCCATTTTATTTCATTTACAGTCTCCGTAGTCAATGTGGACAAAATTTGGAGATTAATTTGCTGGCATTAGGTATGATTAGATAAAAAAAGAGCTGAAAGTTCTCGCTATAATAGTTAAAACAATAGATAATGTGAAAAGAGAATATGCTGAAAATTTCAGGCTAATATCTTCACTCTGAACCGAGATATTAGATATACAATTTTAGTCTAGCCTCGAACGTCATTACTAACTTTCGTGCGATAATAAATTATGTCTCGATTATCCAATTTTCGTTAAATTATCCACCACAAAATGTATCCAAATCCAATAAATATCGCAGGCTAACGACCGCTCTAGCGTTGCCTATGCTTTTGATAGGTTTTAGATAACATAAAAAAAGACCTGCAATAGGCAGATTAGGCTCTAGCATAATATATGTTTGATGGATTAATAAACATTTCATCCATTTCTTAAATCCAAAACTAGAAACAGCTTGTGGGGGTCACGATGGCTAAGTGGGTAAGACGATGTCTTGCTAGCCTGGAGGTCGGGTGTTCGACCCCTAGCTGCATTGGCCGAGAAAGTTCATCCAGATTTTCCAGCGTGGTTTCCACTTGTCAGTGATGCAGGAGGGAGGGCCTGACAAGGGCAGCTGTCTAGTCGTTCGGATGGGACACATGGGACACGCCCCCCAAAAAACTCTATAGATTTTCTATAGAATTCTACACTGCTATTCTGTAGGACTTTTTGCTAAGGGCTGCATTGGCCGAGAAAGTTCATCCAGATTTTCCAGCGTGGTTTCCCTTGTCAGTGATGCAGGACGGGGGCCTGACAAGGACAGCTGTCTAGTCGTTCGGATGGGACGAAAAACCGAGGTCCCGTGTACACATGATTCGCGTGCACGTAAAAGATCCCTTGACTGTTGGAATTCGATACAAGAGTAGGCCGCTGTCCGGGCAAAATGTTCCCTCATATAGCACACAATATGGCGTATGTCTTCATTAGCCAAGTTCAGAGTAGAACAGTAGGACGTTAAACCCCATTTCATTTCAGAAACAGCTTGTAAAGATGTACTGTTATTTATTTTTATTGACCCCGATAATGTTTGACGTTTAAAAGGAAAATAATTATAGTTCAGCCGGTTCCGATGTTCAATATAACTGTAGAGGAATTCCTCTGTAAGTAAAGTTGTTGAACGTGCATGTTATTTAGTTGGTTGATCTATGTCAATATTGAGTCGTTTCGACCGTGAATAAATACACACACGCTACATTCCTTTTACACCTTGCACCTGCAAATTACCTGATAACCCAGACTACTACAAACAATAGACATTAATAATAGACATGTTTAACCAGGCGTTCAATACAAACTAACAAAGACACAAAGAGACAGAGTTCGCAACCTGTGACAAAAGAGATAACCCCAAACTTTGTGATCGAGAATAAATTAACAAAATAATTATAAAAAGACTTGATTAAACGGACGTTAAATGTGCATGACTGTATTGTGAGAGAACTGTCAATCATATGACGTCATTTGTTTGAAGTTTTAGCGACAATAAAGAAGCATGTTAAAATGAGAGTTGTGTTTGAGCCACGTGAGTTGTTGTTTGTAGCATGTAAAATGGACGGAGTTTAAAATTGAAACATGTCGTGGTGTACAGGACAGTTTGATTACAGTGTCTTTATTGGATTTATTTAAATAACACGACGATCGTTTCTTCTGTTGTTTCACTCTAGAAGGTAGTTATTATATTTTATCTCATGCCCTTGCTATATATGTATTAAACATGAAACATGACGTATATTTGTATTGAGTGCAAGTTAACATGTTGACTTACTAACCAGACTAGACAGCACGTCCACAGACAAAAACAAACACCACGTCTTAAATTTGATTTAAGTTTTTTAAAAAAAGTGTTGACTTTAACCCTACAGAAATGGCAATCAGTTCTGAAAAGAAAGATGCAAATGTCACTAATGAATTAACACATAAAATTCACCCGAGGTAGAGAAAGTGTGTGTGTGTGTGTGTGTGTGGGGGGGGGGGTGGGGGGTGGGGGGGGGGTCAGAGAGCGGGAGGGGGAGAAGAAACATGCCTGGATCTTAAGTCTATTCGTGTGTCTATTCGTAATCCTAATCCTATCCTAATCCGGAGAACAAAGGGGCAACAGACTGATTATATACATGCGTGGATCTTAAGTTAATCAATGTGTCCCATGTATAGTGAGAGAAGGAGAGGGATATGCATTAACAATATTTTGTATTTAACATAAATATTAAGCTTATTCATGCTTTAAGCCCATTTTGGATGTGTTAAAGGCTCAATACCACTCTTGTTGTAACTGAATAATATGTCCCAATCTTTATTCTGGTCAACAAATTGTACTATTTTAGAATATTTCAATTAATTGATGATACAAATTTCATCTTAACACACCTTATTTAAAAATTTTGAAAAATTCAACATAATGGTTTGAAACGTCTAACGTAACTATTATAACACTTTAATTATCTTTGGTACGTGTAATACTCAGTCGATGACAAGTCATTCATTAGTTATATGTTGGTATTATCAGGGGAACCCATGAGGTTATGCATATATAAAGACAACATTCGCGGTGTTTAGTTCATATTGAACGGTTACACGTTTTTTCTTGTTTATTATACTCATTCGTCAAGTCAAACCATGAATTAGTTATATGTTGGAATATTCAGGGGAACCGACGAGGTTAGGCATGTATAAAGACAGCATTCGTGCGTTTTAGCCCATTTTGAACTATTACACTATAATTAGTTATCGTTTATCATACTCATTCGTCAAATCAAGCCATGAATTAGTTATATGTTGCTCTTATCAGGAAAACCCACGAGGTTGTACTCGGTTATCAAGTCACGTATTAGTTGTAAATACCGTTATGTAATGTGATATATACAATTGCTTTACCCCGATCTAGGCAATATATGAATAGTGCATTATGTTTATTTGCATTTTAAAACATGTCGTGAAGTCAACGTCAAAGATAAAACTTGATGTATGGGTTCTTAGTATGTCCCGTGTAGACATATTGACAGTCTGCTTATTTATGTATCCTGGATATTGTAGTTAAAGCTGCACTATGTAAAATTTAAATAAAGAGCTGGCCATTAGTTCTATAATAGTTCAAAAATAGATAACGAAAAATTAATAAATTGAAAATTTCATTGAAATTACTTTATTCTAAGCGAAGTTATGACTCTTTGAAGATGTAGCGTAGAATGTTTATTATCGCATCCACGGTACACGACAATCGAGACTAAGTCCCGATTATTTTTAAATCTAGCGTATGTTCTATTCCATGTAAATCACGACCATCCGATGGTCTAGAGAGTTTATTATAGGCATGTCGTGTGCACACGTCATGTCCAAATAATAGTTTAAATAATATTTGAAGCCATAATAAAGACTTGCAATAGACAGATTTAGTTCTTACACAATGCATCTTTAAAATAAGAAAATAGAAAATACAGGACAATAATATACAAAAAAATATACAAAAATATACAACACCAGGACTATCGCACACAGGGCTATAATACACCAGTTTGAGCACAATATACAGCATCAGCCACAGCAGACAGCGTCATTTGCTCGAGCACACAGGGCTATAATATATAACATTAGTCACAGCAGACAGGGCTATAATACACATCATTTGCTCGAACACGGGGTGCTATAAAACACAGCATCAGGGCAATAATACGTGGTGGGGTGGGGTGGGTGGGGGGGCTAATGGTCTACAGTGTCACGCTTCGACCTTTAGCTGGCCGACCACCTCTGGCTTGCGGTTGTGGTTTCGATCCCTGGTGGGAGCGTGTGTGGCCTCTCACCCTCGTGGGTTTACTCCGGGTACTCCGGTTTCCTCCCTCCTCTCACAGGTACGACACATGCACGTGCGCTAAAATAATACACATGAGAATAAGACAACTTGTCTGCAATATCACTTTCGGTGGAAGTAGACGTTAAACACTTAAGTACAACAACAAACAATAATACGTATTTATGCTCATCTTATAAATCGCTTAAATTTACAAAACGTCTTAAAATACGATTTCGACAGATATTGGGTGGATTAACGAAGTTCCTTGTCACCTACAAGCCTAGGATAAAACCACACCACTTGACTAAATGGCAGATCAGGTGCTATCTAAACCTTATCCGTTATGAATTTAAAAAAAAAATGACTGAACCCTTTAATTGATCATGTAATTGAGTCATTTTAATAAATAAAAAAATCTATAATGACCTAAATTCTGCCAATATATTTATAATGTACACTGTTGTAATACACAGTGGCAGTGGTACACCACTCAGATCCCCCCCACCCTCCCTCCCAACCTCCACACCTCTCCCATTTTTAAAAAAAAATGCCCCACCCTCTTTCCTGTATTTATCATAAGAGTTAAGTGATTTTAATGAAGAATCTATAATGACCTAAATTCTACAAATATATTTATAATATACGCTGTTGTAATACACAGTGGTATATACATGTAGTACATAGATAATATAATAATATTATTATTTTACCTGTTTAGACATGATCTAATCTATACATCAATACAACACAATACCTGGATTACTACATAGGTAAATCATACAGCTCACCTTATACATACCTTAAATCAATATACTATATTAGTTCAGTGTGTGTCGACTTGGGTGTTACTGTCATTTAAGTATAAAAATACTCTAAAATATCATACGGATTGTAATTTCTAGCCAAGGTAAGTTATTTAATATACTGGTCATTGTCCATGACTTCATAGCCTTGTTGTGATGACGTGTATAAAATGCATACCTTAAATCGATATACTATAGTTGTTTGCGTTGATCGGTGTGTTACTGTGTTCTTAGTATAAAATAATATACAATATCATACCAGTTGTAAGCTTTGATTAAGGTAAGTGATTTAAAAATTTAGACGACTTGATAGTCTGATGTTTGTTACGGTGATGTGTATATAATAATAGTTAATCTCTTGTCTTTATAGTCAATGACATAGTAGCTTATATATCGACCTATCTCTTTGTATCACAAAGTCCCATGCTGAAATGTTTATACATGATTCCCTGAGTTGGTCGAGAAGACCAGTGGATATATTTCAACCCCAGATATCTCGCCTGCGAAAAAGGTGGCACCTACGGTGCTGATAAAGACCGTTTGTCTAGATATTCGGCTGGTACGACAAACATAGGTCCCATGTACAGATTGTTAGTGCACGTACATGTATAAGATCAAATGGCTGTTTTCCAGGCAATATCTCCCAATCTTATCTCAATCGACAGAAATAAAATTACCGTGTGTTAGTCTGGAAATGACCCAAATGAAATGTAGACAGGACGTTAAACCCTATTACATTATATTATATTTGCTGAGTGTAAACATCACAGAAGCTTGCAATATTCTCTTATAATGCTCCCACTGATTAAAACCCCTACGCGCAAGCGATTTATTGAAATAAAATCAAACCATATGTTAGTCCCAAATTGACCTTGTTCGTGTCGAGTGGACGTTAAATCCACCACATGGTTTCTTTTTATAAATTGCTACATTAAGCCTATGTGGTTGATTAATATTAGCGTTGTTCAAAGCAGGTAGGCCGTACTCATGGCATAGCTATTTCATTGGTCAATCAATATGAAATAGTTGACCTATGACTATGTATAACCAGTGTTATTGTGACTAAGTATGTTGGATTTGGAAGCCGCGCCGAGATCCCTGATTCGACCCCACAAATTCCACGAGATTTTCGGGCGTGGCCTCGCCTTGCCAGTGGCGGAGGACGGATCTTCTGGCATGGATTATTGTAGTGGAACCATTTCTAGGATTATTGATAAATGAAATGATGTTTAACGCCCTACTGTTCTGCTCCGACTGGGTTAATGAAGACGGGACATTTTGACCGGACTGCGGCGCTACAGCCTACTCTTAAATCAAATTCCAACTGCCAATGTGTACACCTCGATTTTCGTCCAATCCGAACAAGTAGGAAACTACGCGGCGATGAACCTTCTCGGCGAACACCGGGAACGAACCTGCGACCTCCAGGCTAGGGAGCCAGCGTTTTGATAAGAAGTGTAGCGTCAGGATTAGTGTAAGACTATATAAGGATTAGTAGTAGTAGTATACAAGTATTATATAGATTAGTTTAGTATATACACAACGCCTAGTTATATAGATATGTAGGTATGTATGTGTATAACACCCCACCTGTAGTGATGTCAATATGTATCTTTATCTATATAACACAATAACATAACTAGGTTGTTGATAGATCTTATATTATTATTTATACCCCGTTTCCTTTTAATTTCCTTTCTATTTCTTACTTTGAGAATTCGGTGGCCGAGTGGTCTAATGGACTGCAGTTTACATTATAGGGCCTGTCACCGAGTCAAGTGGTGTGGTTTCGATCCCAAGATTGTACGTGACAAGGAGTAGGATCACTTGCCTGAGCTCGTGGTTTTTCTCCGTGTGCTCTCGTGTTCCCCGTCTGGTAGTTATTGAAATAACATTGTACCATAATATGTTATCCCCAAAATGATCCAGCTTGTGCCGACTGGATGTTACTGCGCCCCCCCCCCCCTCCTGCCCCCGCCATTTAATCATATTGATCAACCAGTGTCAAACATATACCGTGACTCAAATATGCAGATATGCTACATTTGGACTATCGACTCTAACCATGCCCCCCACCCCACCACCCCACGAAGATAGAGACAAATTCCTGTTTCACCATATGGCTGTGTTGCTTTTAGTAGCGCTGTTACTTTGGAAAACAGTATCTTTTCACTAACTTAAACCTACAGTTGTATTGAGTGGACGCTAAACCAGTTGAATTGTGCAAGAAGAATTCATGTCATTAACTGAATTGTTTTTTTATTCGATATTTCAGGTTGAAAACTGAACTGACGACTCGTAGAATATTGAATTAACTATCCGATAAATGGTGATTGACCTCCTATGAAATTGACTGAAAAGCCATAAAATAGTAAACAAACAGCTGTGAAATAATAAATAGAATACTGAATAAATGTATGCAAAAGACTGAATCAACTTGTGTAAAATACTGAATCAACTCAAGTCAAATACTGAATCATCTCAAGTCAAATACTGAGTGAAATACTTGATTAACAGGCAGCTGAATATTTATTTCACTACAAAAAGTGAGTTCACTTCTATAGAATATTAAATGGAATACTTTCAGAGAATACTGAATTAACTATACACTGAATACTGAGTGCAATTCTGTGGAATACTAAATAAAAATCTGTGAAATACTGAATAAAAACGGCAGTATGTGGAATAAAAACTAATTATTTGTAATGAAAGTAAATATTTGTGAAATTTAAGCGAGAAATCTAATAAAATATATTTATTACGTGCATCTACGAACCACAAAGGAACTGTCTGTAATAACATAGCGAACTCAACTGTATGTGAAATACCATAATATACCTAACTGTATGTGAAATACCATAATATATATACCGAGCTGTGTATTAGTATTGGTATACGTAATACCGGAAATAAATCTGTGAGAAATATGATCCAACTGTGAAATACACAACAGATACGTGAAATAACAAAGTTTTTATGTTGTGTAAGAAAGGGGACGAAATAAACAGAAAATGTTATAATCTTTAGAAAGGGTTTGGTGTGGAATTTCAGGAGATTTATATAATACTCAACACTAGTCATTGATCCGGTCACAGATTTTGTACCTAGTTTTCTAACACAAAGGTAAGATATCATTTATTTTATTTATACTTCCAGAACACTGGTAAATAAATGTGTTGAAATTAACATAATTGGCGTGATATGTTCAATGTCATAGATAGTTCCGAAAGAAATGTGTTAAAATATTAACGTACTATACATACATTTTACCCCATGGGGAGATGGAGTGAAAGTGGTGAGATTGGGTTGGACGAGAATAGTATTGTAGAGGATATCTTTCAGATTGCAGTGTATTTTAGAATAATCGGCAAATAATGATTTTGAGATCATGCACAATAGGATGTAGTCTTACCAAGATGCATAATATTCTAACCGGTATTAAAATTGATCAACGTAAATTCCACGTTAATTTCTACTGGTTGCAGATCGCCACCTTTCCTTTTTTTTTTCGGGGCCGCGGTGACTCAGTGAGTAAGACGTTGGCTCGCTAGCCCGGAGGTCCCTTGTTTGATCCCTACGTTGGCCGAGAAAGTTCATCGGCGTGGTCCCCGCTTGTCATTACTGTAGGACAGAGGGTCTAGCAAGAAACAACGTACAGTCGTTCGGGTGGGACGAAAAACAGGGGTCCCGTGTAACCATTGGCGTGCACGTAAAAGAACCCTTGATAGTTGAAATTCATAGCGCACTGCATAGCGCATGTCCGTCGTCTTTAGTGCAGAACAGTAGGATGTTAAATCAATTTCTTTTCATTTCTGGAGAAGAGGGGGGGGGGGGGGTAACGCGTGCGCGTTGTATCAGAAGGTCTGTCATTAAGTCAGGTGACGTGGTTTCTATTCCCCGCTTGTACATGACAAGGTGTAGTGTCCCCCGCTTTCTCTCCTACTAAAAACCCGTGCGTGCAAGCGAATTATTGAAATAAAATTGAACCAAATGTTAATCCTGCAATGACCTAGTTTGTATCGAGTGGACGCCCCCCTCCCCTCTCTTTCTCTCTCTCTCTCTCTCTCTCTCTCATTTCATTTCTTATCTTCCCACGATCTACCGTACTTTCAAAACCCTAAATAACCTCTTCAAAGGACATAAATCTCTGTAGTGTAATTATATATTTACACATAATATGTAGGTATAGCTTTCAATCAATTTCAATGTCAATCATTTCAACCTGATTTATCAGCGTGTGAAGATATTAAAGGGAAATTGAGCAGAGGTTGTGAAATCAAGCGTGAAAACGGATTTTGATTTTTTTTTTACGGCTTATTATATCTATTAGAGTTTTCTGAAATTTGCAGAAATTGTTAAATTATATGGGAAAACTAAATTTGAATTTTATCACAGATTATGAAGAACCATTGCAATGATTTCAAGTAGCTGGTCGTCGTTTGTCATTTTTGGATATGATCTAATTTTTCAGTGCTTACTTATATTTAGTTAATATAAAAATCAAAAAAAAAAAAAAAAATCAGAATATATACGGCAAATATTTGTTAGATAATCTCTTGACCTCGATTTTAGCGACGGTGATATCTCACTTGGTTTTATCAATCAGATATAAAATGTTCATCTCCTGAAATAAATAACATTCAATCAAATAAACGACGCCCCTTCCCCTTTGATTTTTAAATGTGGGTGATCTTCATATTTACATTTTTGGTACAATATCTAATTTTTCACGGCTTTTCAGATCCGAAATCAGAGAGAGAAATGGGGTTTAACGTCCACTCGACACGAACTAGGTCATTTCGGGACTAACATATGGTTCAATTTTATTTCCATAATCCCGCTTTAGCAGTGGGAGCAAACCGGAGGTCCCGGAGAAAACCCACGAAGTTGGACAGGCGACCCGACTCCTTGTCACGTACAACGGGGGAATCAAAACCACGCCAGTTGACTCAATGACAGACTTTATGATACAGCGCGCACGTGCTAACCATTTAGCCATCCAACCCACCGATCCGAAATCATGTAATAGATCAAATCAAATTTCATGAAACCGACACAAATTGTTTTGATCCAAATCCACGCCCCCCCCCCCCCCCACCGTTTTAATTTTGATTCTAATTAATAACAAATTTACGTGTAAAACAGTGTTATATATTTTCATTAACATTTTACAGCCTTCTACTTATATCTGTTTATTATATTTATAATGACAATTTGATTGGATTTTTATTGACTTTTTACATAGTGACCTTATCTCTAAGTTTAATAGTTAATGTTGAACATATTTATATAAACCTAGTATAACAATGGTGTCATATAAACATATATATACAAAGCACCTGTTGTACATATATATTGTTAAACACAGGTCATTGTTCAAATACCTACCATATTCAATATAGTTTATATATATATAAGTTGAATACGTACAATCTGAGCATTGATTTGTACGCGCGAATACGTGTATTTTATAGTGATTTGTTGTATGCCGGTGTTATGAAATCAAATAGCACGGTGCTGACGGGACATTAAATAAAATCCATTTTGTTTTTGTGTAAGTACAATATGTTTTGAACAATATACCATCCATTTTTTTTTTTCTGGCACTGTTTATTCGGACACTGTTTATTCCATCAATATTTACATAAATGAAATGAAATGAAATGAAATGGGGTTTAACGTCCTACTGTTCTACTCCTAACCTGGGCTAATGAAGACGGGCATACGCCATACAGTGTGCTATGAGGGAAATTTTGCCCGGGCAGCGGCACTACGGCCTACTCTTATATCGAATTCCAACTGCCAAGGGATCTTTTACGTGCACGCCAATGTGTACACGGGACCTCGGTTTTTCGTCCCATCCGAACGACTAGACAGCTTTCCTTGTCAGCCCCTCCGTCCTGCATCACTGACAAGGGAGAACCACGCCGGAAAATCTGGATGAACTTTCTCGGCCAAAGCAGGGATCGAACACCCGACCTCCAGGCTAGCGAGCTAGCGTCTTACCCACTTAGCCACGTGATCCCCCTATTTACATAAATATAAAGATATAAAATATAATTATGGAATCTGTAAATTGTACAGATTCATCTCCCCTAAGACATTATTAATTTACAGAAATAGAAACACATTGTTTAAGATTAGAATCATAAATTATATAAAGGTGTAAATTACAAAGCAACAAGCTAATATCTAAGAATTTAATCAAAATATTATCTCCGATATATCGTAATTTAGTTCAATACACGTTTTGATATACAGAAGGTAATGTGGGTAGCACATTGATTCAGTAGTAATCGAAGGGTATGCGAATCTTGTCAGCCCCCCCCCCCCCGTCCTGCACCACTGTCAAGGGGAAACCACGTCGGAAAATTCCGATAAACTTTCTCGGCCAATGTAGGGATCGAACACGCGACCTCCAGGCTAGCGAGGCAGCGTCCTACCCACTGAGTCACCCCGCCCCCCACACCCAATGGGAAATCAAAGACATCCATCGTGCGACAGACAGTATTCCATTCGTAACATTACTTATTGTATACCCCTAACCTCAACTTTCAGCATAATTTAACCCTTCCAAGTTCCACAGAGAATTGGGGGTGGGGGTCGAATGGTTAGCACGTGCGCGCTGTGGTGTATCATACGGTCTGTCATTGAGTCAACTGGCGGGGTTTCGATTCCCCGGTTGTACGTGACAAGGAGTAGGCTCGCCTGTCCAACCTCGTAGGTTTTCTCCGGGTCCTCCGTTTTCCTCAAACTGCTAAAGACCCCTACGCGCAAGCGAATTATTGAAATAAAATTGAACCACGTGTTAGTCCCGAAATGACCTAGTTTGTGTCGAGTGGACGTTCAGGCATCAGCTAACATTCTTAGAGAAAACAAGATGCACGAAATCAATGGAAAGTAATGGGAAATTCAGAACTTAGTTTTGATTAATCGAATTGAATACGGTTTATATCAAAAAGCTTTATTATAAGACTATACCATTCGGTGTTCATACCGTTTATCAGAATGCCCAAAGGTTTTAATCTGTAGTCTTATACATTGGGTTCTATACCATTTTTCCAATGTCGAACCAGCTTGCTTCTTATAATAACTTTTTATGTTTTATGAAAGTGTCTGTGAATTGAACAAATGGATGTCATCTCCCAATTTTTAAAAAACAAATGAAATTTAATAGGATTTACTTTTCTGCCCGCACCAACTGGAATAATAGGTGATTGTAAATTTTATATTAAGTGTACAAAACTCTATTTGGTTTGGAAAACCCTTTCGGATTGTTTCAGTATCCTGTTTATTTAATTTATGTGATAGTTACCTCTTCTTCTTCTTCTTCATCTTCTCCTCCTCCTCCGCCTCCTCCTCCTTCTTCTTCTTCTTCTTCCGTGAGCTCAGCGGGTAAGGCGTTTTCTCGCTAACTTCTTCTTCTTCTTCTTCCGTAAGCTCAGTGGGTATGGCGCTGTCTTGCTAACTAGGGGCTTTCGGATTCACTTCCGGTGTTGGCCGAGAAAGATCCTTGGGATTGTCCGGTGCGGTTTCCCCATGTCAGTGGTGCAGGACCACAGGCCTGGCAAGGACTGTGTCTAGTCTTTCGGGTGGGACGAAAAACCGACGTCCCATGTACACATTGGCGTGTACGTAAAATATTCCTTCAACAATGGAGATCCTAATATTTGACCTCGACAGTCGAGATGATTAATATAAAACCATTGATTGAAAAATATGTTCAAACTACCGCAATACACTGTAACTGTATTTCGTGGTTATTGTTGGGGGGGGGGGTCCACAATCATTTACCGAAGTTTGTATAGGCGGGCGACATTTTGGCAAGTGCTAGTTAATTACGAACTGTCACTGCATGTAACCGCCTTACTAGTCAAACATTCTACTGGGCCAATCTAATTAACATTAGGTTACAATGTCCTTTCCTGTTTTGCTGATTTTCAAGCTAGATTGTAACACCACCTTCTATTAAAGTACGCGTAGAAAGGCTTCTTCTTGGCCCACCTCGGTATTCGAACGCGGAATATTCTACCCGAGAGTCAAGTGTCCTTACTACCAAAATCAAGCAATAGGACATATTTTTCAAACTCGTCTCTCAAGGGTGACACATAGATGTAGTCGTT